TCCCAATCATTTAGATAATCTATGCACGTTTGATAAAATGTGTACACAACATCATTGAATTTTTTGGCTTGTATATTTTCTGATTTTTCTAATGCTAAGACCACTTTTCTAATAACAATAGGAAGAAACCCCTCATTTTTTCTTTCAACTAACTTTAGCTTTAATTAACAAGTGTATCATCCACCAACTAGAGAGTTAAAAAACTATCACAAAAATCCTCATAAGAGTGTCCACCCCCTGGTTCTGTCAGTGGGCCGTTTGGTTGGCGACACACTGCACTACTGCGCTCTATGTAGCAATGCAACACTGATCGTGATGGCGTACACAAAACTAACTTGTTCAATATATTATAAAAAATTTTTTTTTAAACTTTGCGTCAACTTTACAAAATAAAGGACAAAATGCCTATTTTAGAAAATAAATAAAGTTAAAGGACAGAGCAGTGAAATAAAGGACTGTCCTCTTAAATAAAGTACGTATGGTCGCTGTAGGTATGGCTCCCATGAGACTCTGTAATTACTCCTTCAATGCTTTCAGTTGCATTGACAGATTTATTAATATATAGGGAATAATAGGGCTTAACTCCCTACCCATTTCCAAGAAAACTTATTCGAAAATAGCTTTATCACTATACATCAATTCTTGGTATTTCCGAGGTTAGATGGACAAGAAGAGGCGATATAAAAACAGGAGGAGGATTCAGATTCATATATTCAGGAGGAAAGGAACATGAACGAGGAGTTGGATTTATATTAACGTATTGTTACAAAGTGTTTTAAACGATAATAGTATAGATCCAGTTCATGTTCCAGGGAATAAAATCACAACAAAATTTTTTGCACATGCCGATGATGTAAATTTTTTTGTAATAAATAAAAAGAGTCAGAATAAAATTATTGATAAAATTAAAGATTTTAGTATCTTTACCGGCATGCGCGTCAACGAAAATAAATCTAAATTAATAAATATCTATGGGAGCATGGACTGTAAAAACATGAAAATTAAAAAGGTTGATAATATGAACTGGCTTGGTATATGGATGGGTAAAAACAGTAATAATAAGAATTTAGAGGAAATGGTAAATAAAATTAAAAATGTAATTGACAAATGGAAAATAAATTGGCTTTATCTTCCAGAGCGCGTCACGATAATTAATAAAATTGCAATTGCTACTATTATGTACATGCTGTGTTATACTAACTTAATGGTTGATGATATTAAACAGATTAATTCCTTAATTTATGAATACATTTGGATGAATTCTTATGAACCGTTGAGTAGAAAGATGATGACTAACGATAAGGTAAATGGAGGGTGGAGAGTGTGGGATATTAAAAGTCTGGAGTGCTCACTACAGTTTTAAGTCATATGATTAACGCTCTGAAAAATTATAATCATCTTGTTTGTTTTCTAATTCAGTACATATTGGTACCCACTGCAAAGAGAATCACTCAGGTGGGAGAACAGTATCCTTTTTTAATTAATAATAAAAAGAAATATAGAAATTGGAGAAAAACTATTAATGAAATCATGGATAATCATGGGAATACTATACAAAATTTAATTAAGGTTTGGCCTATTATTATATATAAAATGATAAATAAACAACAGTTAAATTATAACATGATAAATTCTACTATAAATTGGAAACAAGTATGGAAAAATGTTGAGAATATCCCATCTGAGTGGTTACAACTTACCTGGAAAATGTTGTTAAATATTGTAATGACAAAAGATTTTATTGCTACTTACCATCACGGTCGAGATTCCCGTTACTTGCGATGTGGACTTAGAGAAACTATGATTCATTTGGTTTTTGAGTGTAGATTGGCTCAACAGGTCTGGATCTGGTTTGATAAAATTTGGAAAATTAATATAACTTGGACTAATATAAAATATCTTCTAGATTTTAAGCTTAGAAACCCTAACTGGTACATGTTGATGTGGATGATTGCACTTACTAAGAGAATGTTGTGGAAAGCTAAATGTAGCCTGGTTTTTGAGAAGCGAAGATGGAATGCGACGTTGATAGTGACAAAAATTAAAGAAGAAGCTGGATTTAAAATTGAAAGTGATCTGAGAAATATGAGTGAAGGTGAATTTAAGAAAAACTATAATGGAATGGATGTAATATGGAAGATGGTGAACAATTGTATTATATTTAGTGATGATTGAACTTTTGTATCTTAAATTCTTTTTGGCTTTTTTGCCTTTTATTTGTTGATATTTTTGTTCTACTATTCATGTTCTATGTTTAATTGTTTATTATGTATTTTTTAGATCTTTTGCCTTTTATTTATTTAAATTTATTTTCTACAATTTATGTTTAATGTTCAACTGTTCATATTATTGTGTGTGATGTTCCATTTGATGTTTGTTAAACTATTTACGATGTTGCACATCATTTTTATGTGTTTTTTAAGTTAATGTAATATTAAAATTTTATCATTGTAATAATAACATATTAATACTTACCTTTTGATGATTGTCGGGTTTTAAATTGTTATTAACACATTGTTTCTTTTATTCTGAAATTGTAAAAACAATTTTGTTTTGAGATTGCATTATTGTAAATTAACATTGTAAATAATTGTACTTACCTTTTAAATTAACATTGTCGGGATTGTTTGTAATTAACTTTATCATTTATTGAGCTGATGTATTGTCAGGTTTGTTTTTCAATAAAACTTTCATGGGGTTCGGGTCGCGATTAGCGAGTTTTGCTGGGGTGTGGTTGTTTGTCTCCCTGCTCCTCCTCTATAAACTCTGCCATGCATATGATCACTCCTCTGCATATTATCAGTCAACTGTGAAGGAAAAAATTTTTTTTTTCTACAAACTTTGACACACAGGATTTATTATCGATAGGAAAACATCATGTAAAATCAATGGATACTGGCAAATATAGGATAGAGTAATTGCCTTGGGGATCAAGACGAAACCAAGAGATATGTTGATTATCCAAACATACCTACCTACTACAGATCACACAGACAAAGAAGTAGAGGAAGTATATCAGCAAATAAGCCAATGTCTTCAAGAAAGAGATAATAGAGATATTCTCCTAATAATGGGGGATATGAATGCAAAAGTTGGAAGAGGAAGAGAAGGAATTGTTATTGGCCCCTGGGGACTTGGCAAATGTAATGATAGAGGTAAAAGATTGATTGATTTCTGTAGGGAAAACGTCTTGACTTGATGAACACATGGTTCAAACATCACGAAAGAAGACTTTATACGTGGAAAGCCCCAGGATCAAGGGGAATCGAAGTTAGAAATCAAATAGATTTTATTTTGATTAATCATAGATACAGGAACACAATTACAAATATAAAAACATATCCAGGGGCGGATTGTGGCAGCGACCACAACCTCTTGCTCTCTGTGATCCGAGTTAAATTAAAGCACATAAAAAGAAATAGAAATGATAAAAGACTGAGAATTGATGATTTGAAGATTAACAGCATTAGGGAAAAATATGAGAGTATGACTAATAATAGACTTCAAAATTTAAATTTGGAAGGAAATGTGAAAGAACTTTGGGAGAATATGAAAGGGAAAATTAAAGGAAGTGCTTACCAGGTTTTGGGAGAGGAGAGAAAGAAGTGTTGGAGAAAATGGATGAAAGGAGAAGATGGAAAAGCGCAAATACATTAGATGCTAAAGAAAAATATAGAACAATCGATAAACAAGTGAAAAGTATGGCAAGAAAAGCTAAGGAAGATTGGCTAGACAGAATCTGTCATGAATTAGAAGAACATGAATCTTCTCAAGATCTGAGAAAGGTCTATCAAAACATTAATTTAGTCTCAGGAAAGAAAAGAAGAATGAAAATTGGGGCAATAAAGGATGAGAATGGAGAAATTTTAATGCAGAAGGAAAGGCAATTAGTAAGATGGAATGAATATTTGACAAAACTTTATAAAACAGAGGATAACATGGAATGTAAACTGAAGGAGGAATATGACGATGATGAAACCCCTAAATTTCTGGAGGATGAAGTTGAGGCAGCCTTGAAAAAATTGAAGAATACGAAGGCACCTGGAATTGATGGCTTGCATGGGGAATTGCTTAAGTCAATGGGTTTTGAGGGAAGAAGGATTATAAGTCATGTTCTCAATAAAATTCTTGCAGAACAACTACCCACAGACTTTACTAATTTAATATTTATGCCTATACCCAAAATAGCAGGAACACTGGAATGTGACAAACATAGAATAATAAGTTTAATAAGCCATATCTCAAAAGTTTTAACTAATACTATCTATAGAAGAATAGAACCAAAAATTGAAGCAGAACTAAATGATACACAATTTGAATTTAGAAAGAACAAAGGAACTAGAGAGGCCATTACATTAATTAGACTTATTGGAGAAAAAATGATTGAAAAAAAAACGAGATCTTTATCTGTGCTTTGTGGACTATGAAAAGGCGTTTGACGATGTTAATCACACAATTTTATTTGAAATACTTCAAAAAATTGGAATAGATAAAAGGATGATTAAAATTATTCTCTTTTTATACAAAAATCAGAAAGCAATGATAAAAATTGACGAGGAAGAATCCAACTGGATAAGGGTGGAAAAAGGAGTGAGACATGGATGCAGACTTTCGCCACTGTTATTTAATATTTACAGTGAGTGGATGATGAGAGAAGCACTTGAGGATTTTAACGAAGGAGTGAAAATCAATGAATGCTTAATAAACAACATAAGATATGCTGATGACATTAGTCCTGCTGAGTGAAAGTAAAGAGGGATTACAGAAAATTCTGAATCGACTATTCAAAACTGGATTGGAGAAATTCCATATGAAAATAAATGAAAAGAAGACAAAAGTAATGAAGGTTTCAAAGAAGGAAGATATGGATGAATTCCAGATCATTCTGGGAAATAAGGAACTTGAAAGGGTTAAAAAGTTTGAATATCTGGGAAGCTGGATAACGAGTGATAATAGATGTAAAATGGAAATGAAAAGCAGAATTAATAAAGCAAAAGCTGCCTTTTATCAGATTTATCATATATTAACAAACAGAGGCCTTAACATAAAACCTAAGGACAATGATCTGGAGTGTACTAACATACGGATGCGAGGCATGGACTCTTACGTATGAAATGATGGAAAGAATTAACTCATTTGAAATGTGGTGCCTGAGAAAGATGCAAAGAATAAGTTGGACAGAGAAAATAACAAATGAGGAAGTTTTGGGCAGGCTAGGCTTGAGGAGAAGGTTGCTTATAAATATCCAACAAAGAAAGGTACGATATGCTGGACATTTGGCTAGAGGATCAGGAGGACAACTACTAAAGACGGTGATTGAGGGACTGGTGGAGGGGACAAGACCTAGAGGAAGATCCCAAAAGACTTGGAGAGATAACATCAAAGACTGGACTGGAAAGAATTTAAGAGAAGCCTGGAATAGAGAAACATGGAGAGGAATAGTTCATCAAATGCAACCCTCTGTAGAGAGGATGCCACTGGATAGATAGATAGGACTATATGAATAATGAAATACGTTGACTGTATAAAATTTAATCAAATAAAACGAACATCCATTGAAGTTCAATCACTCCTTTGCCCCCTGTCTGACTTTGTCCGATTTGTCATAACCATCTCTTTCCCTTCCTTCCAGTGTTGACTTTATTTATAATTGACTAATAAATTAGTCAATTAAATATACATTCTGTAAATTGTTATATTACTATTAAAAATATGTGATGGAAAAGAATAGTTATTTTATGATAAGATGAACTTTTATTACAATAAACTATATCACAAATTTACAGTTTCAACAAAATACATCTAAAGCAATTTGTTGCTTTTAAAATATCATCACCGGTGACAAGCGTTGATGGGATAATGAATCTCACTGGAGTCATAACTGTTTTCTTCTGAAGAGGCAGGATACCTACTTAGCATCAACAAACAACTTAATTAAAATTTGGAATTTCTACTTTTAATNTTCGGATTATCACATGACCTACAATTCTGTATCACCATAGCTGAATAAAAAGCAATTGTATTTTCTCTATCCGAGCGGTATTTATAATTTGTAATAATGTGACAGACATGTGTCAGGTGTGTGGATGTCAGCAAGTGGTGATGGACAGTCCACAGCTTTCTCACACGTGTCAGGTGGGTGATGTAACAGTATCCCCAAGAATGTGGGGAGATTGTCCCGCCTAGAGAGGGAGAAATGGTGAGCTTTACTACCCTGAGTTTGAAAATTAATACGATTCTGTGAAATTTAACAAATCTGATGTCAATAAAAGAAAATTGAAATTATTTGTATCGAGTTGATATTTGAATAGTGTCAGTTTTTGCATTTATAGTTCACATTTCAGAAAATGTAAATAAAAACCTCAGATTTCACCCATAAATATTTTATACATTTATAAAGTAGAGAAAATGTAGAAATCGAAAATATAATCGTAATCGAGCACATATATCAGTAAAAACATGAAAACTGCATTAAAATAACACACTTTGTTGAACGTCTCACAAGTCAGATCAAAAAGTAATTAAATCGAGTCTCGCCACCATATTGATACACATAAATATGTTTGTGTTTTTCAATAGATAATTAAAAAATTTAAACGCCTCTGAATGTTAAGGCATTATTACTATTTAATAATTTTACTAATATATGAAAATTTTACAGATACTTAGTTTGTTTAGAAATACAATGATTTGTTTTCAGTCAAATTATTAAAATAAATTTATATATTATATATATTTATAATAAATTTAAAATATATTCAAGATGAGATATTTAAGTTTTGGATGGATTATTATAGATTACATTTATAAATTAAAATTTAATTTATTCTAAAACTGGAAAAATATTTCAAAACTCCCCCATGTTAGCTTTCGTCTTATTGGTTAGTCTAAACCAGTGTTTCTCAACCTGTAACGAATCGTCGCCCCCTTCACTTCAAAATTTCGATGCCGAGGGCCAAGGCTAACACCAGATTCGTACTGCATTGAATAGACTAGTGACTAGTACAATGTTATTTGTATAATTATTGTACGATATAACGAATAAAATATCTAAATATTCTTAATATAATGTTTTACTATATCACCCAGAAAATTGTTTTTCGCCCCCAAAATATAAATTGTTACTAATCGCCCCCTAACATGGAAAAACGCCCACATGGGGGCGATATCACCCCCGTTGAGAAACACTGGTCTAAACAGTCCTGCGAGCTGATTGGCGTAGAGACATTACTACACTCATTCTTTAGTATCTTCTATTTCTTACTTGTTTTCAAGCATTTTGTAAAATGAATCCATCCGCAATTGCTGGGCCAAGCTCCGCTAAACAGCTACAGATGTCAGATATCCGTGAGTTGCTAGTTGATAGTAGCGAGAGCGAAAGTGATTTGGCCTCCGACGACGAAATAGAGGAGGGAGAAGAAGGACGACAAGAAGAGATACTAGAAAATGGATTATCTAGCGAAGACGAAGAGGAAACCATCTTCGGAAGTGAGGCGTGGATACCACATGGAGAACCAAGAGAACCTTTTTCCACTTTCGCAGAAGGTACGAATAAAAATGTAAAAGTTTATCCTTACTGAATGGGCCCTTTTTCTAATTTTGCTCTCTTAAGACATCTCTAGTAGACGTGTCCTAAACACGTAGAAATATTTGGGGGTGACGCGTATAATAAGAGCTATAAGCGAAAACTCATCGGATTACTTACCAACTGTGCACGGCGGAAACCGCCATTGTTTAACCTTGTTCACATCGCGGAGTGGCACGTTGGACGGGGGAACGCTTAAAATTCGTGTCACATGACCCCGGTTACACGTCATCCAGTCACGTGAGCGGCGATGACAGAGCGATGTGGTCACGTGACTATAGCTCTGACGCGTTTCCGGACAACTATACCTTGCATCACGTGATAGAGTACAGTCGGTTAATAGCGATCGTCTGTAGACATTGCGAAGAACGGACAGAGAAAGAAAAAGATGGCGACGTCCGTAATATCGACAGTAGCATGATGGCGGGATCTATAATTTTAAAATATGCGTTTTTAGAGACANTCGTTCGTAACTTTTAAACGGTTGATCGTAAGTAATTTTTTTTAATACCAATCGATTCAGCGTGTCAAATTACATCTAGATATGTCTATGTCTATTCGTTAATATTAAGTTTAAGACCTTTTTTTAGCTGGATACCTTTTCCTTTACTCTAACCAAGCCTTCCAATGGCATTTTAGTAGCTACGAAAAAAAACTCGAGACGACACTTACCAATTACACCACCGTGTGGTTATATGTATATATAATATATTGACGTGCGCTTTCACAACTTGTAATTTTTCATTCATAAAACCACATAATGGACACTAAAACGGAACTATCTGAGCCCACGTTGAAACTACTATTACAAATACCCGTTGTTGCGTCCGACAGCGCGCTTCCCGCCAGAATGTAGAAACGAGTTCAATATTAGTCAGAACAAGGCCACTTGATACCTTCGCTAGTAAGGCCGTCCGACAACTAACTCTATATGAGACCGAGCGTATAGACGCTAGTTAATATTTTCTCCGCTTGTGGCGCTGACTATCCTTCGTCAGCGATTCAGGTGGAGAGTACTGTATAGAGGAGTTTGGAGACGTTGTTGCATTTAGATATTTTTCTCATTAAAACAGGTTGAAAACTTTTGACAATCAAGAAATGAGCTGCTGCAAACGTTGTTCTTATTATTATTAAAAACGTTGTATTATTATTTCGCTTTTTTCACAAACTAGGGAGTTTGTGAAAAAAGCGAAATAATAATACAGTATTTTTCACACCTTTATTTTCATAAGACGTTTTTAGGAAGAAATAATAACTGACAAGGGAACTTTTGACAATCAAGAAATGAGCTGCTGCAAACGTTGTTCCCTAGTTTGTGAAAAAAGCGAAATAATAATACAGTATTTTTCACACCTTTATTTTCATAAGACGTTTTTAGGNTTTGATTGCTAATAACTCTGATTAACTCTTTTAGTGAATACTACAAATTTAATATAGAGTTTGTATACTTTTAACGTAACTATTAACTAAATTTTATTAAAATTTATTAGATGCCACTCCGACAGTTCCCTTGTGAGTATTATTGGCATTGGCAAACTTTTTCACATTAATACTATTTAATCATCTCTTTTCGATTCTTAAAGATACCAGTAGTTGATCGTTAATGTAAGTATTTTTTTTTACTCGAAAAGTATGCAAACTTAGCAAAACTAGGTTACCTACAGTATGCACTATCTACTATAAAAATTTTCACATTTTCGGACCATATATGATAATTATTAAAATATTGTGTATTAAATGTTATAAAATTATTACTTTTGTTAATCAAGACTGTAAGAATAAATACCGATATAACCTTTCGAAAAAATTTGCTTATTTTTGCAAAAAAATAAGCAAAGTTTTTAGTTAGTAAAAAAATTTCGAAAAATATGCACGGAAATATGGTGATATTGAAGATAAGAACTTACTATAATTAATATTGAAGAAGTACACAGAAATGTGAACAAAAGTGTCTGTAAAAGTGTCTGCCAATTTTGCATTCTTTCTCCAAAGTGTAGCTTTTAGTTTCTTAACAGTTTTCTTTTATTCTCTGTAACAATTAGTTCCAGGTCATAATTAGTTTGACATGCAGCATTTACCATATTCCTCTTCCTTCCTTCCTCAAAATCAGTATAATTGTTACCGCTAAAGCTCGGAAACTCGTTAATCTGCAGATTACCTAGCATGATCCGTTAAAGTTGCTAAAATTGTTCTATTTCTCAAATTACCTAGGTAATGTGCAGATTATCTAGGTAATCTGCAAATTACCTACTAGGCACTCGGTAAAGTGAAAATAAGATCTTTGCTGAAACAACAGCAACGTTTCTGTACGCTTAAATTAACATAATGTTCTTTATTTAATTTTCGATATCTAAAGAATCAAGTTAATACAATCAAACAATCGACAAATTAGTTGATAGAATCAATCATCAACCAATTAAAAAACATACAAAAAATCAAACGATTTAAAATATTAATACAATTAGGGAAATTATTATATAGATAACCACCTATGGAATTTCGGGACTTTGAGTATCTATCTGAACTGAGGGGACCGAGACGACTTCAATGATACCCTACTTTTGGACCGGAGACGAAAAATAATAAAGTTATCATACTTTTTCTGGTGATCGCATGATATAATTGTGCAGTTAATGTTACCTATGGTGAGTAAAATGGCGGCTCGTCTCTGATTCCAGCAAACAGAAGAAAGGAAACAGTGGGGACGCACGTTCTGTCCTAACCTAACCTATTTTAATAAATTACCATAATTATTACCAACCAAATTATTAGAATAGGTTAGGTTAGGTTTGAACGTGCGTCCCCACTGTTTCCTTTCTTCTCTTTGCTGGAATCAGAGACGAGCCGCCATTTTACCCACCATAGGTAACATTATCCAATTGTGCAGTCTAAAGATTGGTGACACTTTGAATTTCATAGCAATTGGTTTCTGCGACAAGCACACCTATTTGTGGTACATTTATTTGTGGCAAAGATCTTATTTTCACTTTACCGAGTGCCTAGTAGGTAATGTGCGGATTACCTAGATACTCTGCACATTATCTAGGTAATTTGAGAAATGGAACAATTTTCACAACTTTAACGGATCACGCTAGTTAATCTGCAGATTAGCTAGGTAATCTGCAGATTAACGAGTTTCGAGCTTTAGCGGTAACATAATTATAAACAGGCCCATCAGTAACTTCAATGTCTACAGTTGCGCTTTCATGCTGAAGATCCTGCTGGTCAACAAGCTTACTCTTTTTCTGTGATGGATCTGCTCGTACTTCTAAATTCCGTTGTAATGGTGTTCTCTTTGTTTTTTCTGTCTGAGGACGCTTATGTGGGGGATAGTTTGGAAACTGTGAGGGGCATGATGATGAACGTAAAACGCGCCTTTTAGATCTGATTTTATAATCACTTCCTACAAAATGCAGGCTACAGACAACTGACCTGCTACTTGGTATCCACGGCGATCCTTATTTCCTTGTCGTGATATAACATTTAGCCAATTCTGTCTCAGTTGTTCGTTCGATGAGATTTCATGAAATGTAACTTTTAATCCTTCGGGACAAGTTTTAGATCTAGCATACGATGTGCAAAAAGGCACGCAACAATTTTTAGGCATAATGTACAGTACCTTTACTATTTGAACTACACAATGAATGTATTTATATCTATACACCAAGCTGCTGTTGAAGAGAAAGTCCTGTCAACCGTATATAACTCACGAATAAGTATAACTATATACAACTATAACTATACGTAATTATCACAATTTCATAAAATAGCTATACTCGCACACAAAAGTACAAAACGACCAATTCACTCAACACGCGATTCTCACTGATAACTAGCGCCAAAATCTTTCGCAGCGGCAAAAAATGGAAACAGTGTGAATACGGCAATTTTCCTTACGGCGGACGGCCTTACTAGCGAAGCGATCAAGTGGCCTTGGTCAGAATTAGCCTTTATTGCTAACACGTGACTACTTCTTGGGGGGCAACCCGAACTTTGCTCGAGTTACGCTTCCGTAACATCGTAACATTCTATAACGAAATTCACGAGTTAAGATTTGACAACGACGATTTATTTTTCGAGATTAACTTCTTAAAAAGAGAACAGAATCAAATTATTTTAAAATTCAGATTAAATGTTTATAAATTTATTATCTAAATTTATAAACATATATGTTTTATATAGCTAACTAATCCTTTAAGTTTAAAAATGTAAAGTTATGTAACAATAATTTATATGTAAGATGTGGGATCCATTGGCTACTACATAAAGACTTTAAAACAATAGATGCAACACGAGTTAGAGCAGTGTTCATTCACCCAGTTTTTGTTTTTTTTTTCCATTTAATTTCACATAGATAAGACGGATCATCTCTGGTCCGCAGACCACAATTTGAGTAGCACCGTGTCACGAAGTTCGATCGGTCTCAGGCAAAGGGCGTTATTAAGTCAGACAGCGAGCGGCTTTGTTTTAATTTCTTTTATGAATCGCACAAATTTTATTTCTTATCAGACTTTTCAATTAAACACTNAGACCTTAAAAGGGCCTTTTGCATATACAGCTAACAAGTAAGATAGAACTTTCCCGAAACTAGTAATCCGAGGGGTAAAGATTCGCAGCGGCAACTTGAAAGTGGTGCAGTCGAGCCGCCATGTCCGGATATTTGGCTTTAAAAAGATATTCAGCCAAATATCCCACCGTGTGTGCTTCTTTCCGGAATGTTTCAGCGAATCTCACGCTTTTAAATGATTTAAAAACCGTTTAAACTTTCAAATTATAAATAAAATTAATTTTTAAATTTATTTTGTGTGTGGCGATGACGGGGCATTTTGCTTTTAATATATATATATATACACAGATAAAACTTATTTAAAATAATAATATAAAAACTAAAATACTGTGTGTATTCTAAAATGTCTCTTTTGTCTCATCACTAGTATAACTCAAAGGACGTGACAAGGTTATAAATTTTAAACGTCTCTCGTCATAGCTGTAGGAATGTAAATATAGTAAACTTAATAGATTGTTTGTCATTTGATTTTTAATTAAAGACCACGGAAATTTTCCAAAATTTACAACCTTTCAGTTACTCTTGTTGAATTGGAAAAATTTCTGTCTTTATTACATATAATATTACAGTAGAGCGTCGTTTATCCGAAGGAATTCCAGTCGACAAATTTAAATTTTCGCCAGTGCTATGGCGCTGTAATCTTTGGCTATGTCTTCGGCTACTCAAATATTTTACGTTTTTGATACTAAATTAACTTCTGAAGTATAATTTTTTTATTGTTTTTATAGTTTTCAATATATTTATTTTGTTTGTACAAAATAAAAAAATAATTTTTAACGATACAATAGTCTTCGTTAGGCTTAACATCGACGAAAATTCAACGCGAAGCGACACGCAACGGAGAAAAATTTCAACACGGGATAAATTAATATATTTTTTCGTACATAATTGGTTATCCGAAAAATAAGTTATCGAACAACCCCAGTTCCCAATTGATTCGGATAAACGACGTTCTACTGTACCAAGAAATCAGTCTCCATTGTTCTCAGCTAGAGAATGGTTAAGTTTTTGTTTAAGTAAAATTCCTACCCTTGCACCAAGGTTTTATTTTTCTAATTTCTTAATTATTTAACTACTACTTGAGTAGAAATAAGTTGAAACCGTTTACAGGGTGAGTCAAAATTATGTGAACACTATTTGATAAAAAGCATTTAGTCAAAGTTTGCGTTATACAGTCACAACCTGACCACCAGCACGATTAATGCACTCAAACCGACATTCAACAGTACAGTTTAGTGCCAGAACACCTTTTATTCTGTCCTTGAGGTCTCTTGACAAAATTAAGATGTTTCATTAATAATGTTCTCAAAAGTACTCACCCTGTACAGTACTTTGTACTTGAATATTTGTAGCCTTGGGAAAGAAGTGGAAAGACAAATTTTTATGACAACGGATGCATAAATCGTAAATTTAACCTAAGAAATCTTGTGAGATTAGAACTTTTGCTGATAAAGAATAAACAACAGATATTGTTTTAATTCTGTGCTTATTTATTTTAATTTAGTGTAAGCCACGTGTTAGTCAGGTTTGAATCGTTACAAAACTTTTAAGGCTATTCTTAAATGACGACGTCCACACTGGGAGGAAGGGAGGGGTTGGAACTTCAATGGACGTCCGTTTTATTTCATTAAATTTTATACAGTTTATGCATTTTATTATTCATAAAGTGATAAAGGTTTTGAGGAAGGTTGAGTTTTGTTGGACGTTCGAAGAGGAGAGGGGGTTACGGAATTTTAACCTCTTAAAAGAATCGAATTTAAAAATAATACAGAAAAACGTAAATAAAACTTAAACTGTTTTTATTTTGTAGCTGTCCATTTTCTTCTTAAATTCTACGCTATAATATTTTGAATTTAACATTTAAGTCTTCTCCCATTTTCGAAAATTCTAGAATTTATTCTGAACGTAATATTGTTATCTTCCTCCATCTAAAAATCCTTTACTAAAAATTTGATTTTTTATGTTAAACTAATATAAAATAGTATGACATTTGATTGCTATTAATCATGATTAATTAATTAACAGTTTTAGTAAATATTACAAATTGAATATAGTGTTTGTATACTTTTAACGTAATTATTAACTAAATTTTATTAATATTTATTAAAACANTTTTCACATATTTTGATGTTAAACTGTCTACTTTTTGAAGATTTAACTATATCTAGCGTTAGGTCTAACCCAAACTTTTGGTCTAAGGAAGCCTTTTGTTTTTTCAACTCCAGATCTTCTATATTTTTAGGTTTAGCTCCTCTTTTTTTTACCAACAGTCTGTTTCACATTAAAATCATAATCACAGTCTAAAATTAATGTTACATTTATTGAAATCTTTTAAGTAAAAATATTAAAAGATAAAATAAAATACTTGCCTTCTAAAGACATTTTCATAGATGTATAAGAGGTTCTTGCAAAAGAAGTTTTTAGCTGGTATCTCAGTAGTGTATTAATATTAGTATAAATTTTAAACGTTTCTCGTCTTAGCTGTAGGAATGTAAATATAGTAAACCCACGTGTTAGCCAGGTTTAAATCGTTACAAAACTTTGAGGCTATCCATAAATGTCGTCCACACTGGGAGGAAGGGAGGGATTGAACTTCAATGGTTGTTCGTTTTATTTCATGAAATTTTATATAGTTTATGCATTTTAATATTCATAAAGTGATAAAGGTATTGACGTAAGTTGAGTTTTGTTGGACGTCTGAAGAGGAGAGGAGGTTACGGAATTTTAACCTCTTAGAAGAATCGAATTTAAAAATAATACAGAAAAACGTAAATAAAACTTAAACCGTTTTTATTTTGTAGCTGTTCATTTTCTTCTTATATTCTACGCTATAATATTTTGAATATTAACATTTAGGTCTTCTCCCATTTTCGGAAATTTTAGAATTTATTCTAAACGTAATATTGTTATCTTACTCCGCCACCCTTTACTAAAAATATGCTTTTTTTATGTTAAACTGATATAAAATAGTATGACATTTGTTTGCTATTAACCTTGATTAACAGTTTTAGTAAATATTACAAATAGAAAATAGTGTTTGTATACTTTTAACGTAATTATTAACTAAATTTTATCAATATTTATTAAAACAAACTCCAATAGTTTTTCATCGACTCAGATTTTTAATGTTTAAAATTAACAAAAACGTTTGCTTAGTAAAAATTTTGTGCTGCAGATCTACAAACGTTTTAATATATTTTTTAGAAATGCATTCTTTATCTTAAAAATTCTAACCAAATGCATAGTTGCAAAACAAAATTATTGTTTATAGACTTAAGAGGCATCAGCGAGAATTCCGATCCAAAATGCATTTGATGTAATGGTGCAATACTTCCTGGATCCCGGTGTGATAATCCTCGCTATGACCCCCTCCGGAAAAACCGAACTGCCCAAGCAAAAGACAGGAACACGGCGGAGATGAGTAGTCACGTGACCGAAATAGCCCGACAAATGTCACGTGACACGCTTCGTACGCGTCCGCCGTGACGCTCCGTGATGAAAACAAGCTTAAGCAATCGCGTCTTCGAACGGGTACACTCGATAAGTATTCCGACAATTTTTTGGTCATAGCATATTTTATATCGATCATTTCCAACAAATTATATGTGTTTTGGAAATATTCGAATGAAATTAGTCTACATTTGATTAATTTTATGGAAGAAAACCTCTCAAATAGCCATACCCCCTAATCAGCACAAGTGCCCAAAAAGTGATGATATAAAGTTAAATATATTTTAAATATATTATTATAGAAAGATGTTAGTCAGAATATTATATATATAAAACATTTTCTACAATTTTAGGAGAATTGCTCGTTGATTTCGGCGAAAAACCAACTGCACTCCAGATATTTGAATATTTTTTTGATGATGAGCTTACTAAACACATCACGCATCAAACAAATTTGTTCGCCGAACAATCTACCCAAGAGAAAAGAAGATCGTCTCTTATGAAACGTAGAAGCAGAGATAAGGTATATATCAAATATAGAAAATTTATATAATTAATAAAATATTAACTTATATTGTTTTATATAGGATTGGAATGAAACCAACACGGAAGAAATCAAGTTTTTTTTCGGCTTAATAATTTTACAAGGAATACTACAAAAACCTACTAATTCATTATATTTTTGCAGGCATCGCATCCTACAAACGCCCTTCTTTTTCGAAAACATGACGGAAAATCGATTTTATCTACTGAAAAAATTTTTACATTTTAATGACAATACACTTTTTGACCCAACAGTAACAAACAAACGGCTGTATAAATTAAAACCTGTTTTTGATCATTTAATTCGGAAATGGCAATCAGCATACACTCCTGGTACAAACATAAGTATTGATGAGAGCTTATTGTTATGGAAAGGAAGACTACAGTGGAGAGTGTACATCCCAAGAAAAAGAGCCCGTTACGGGATGGAGTCATTTCAACTTTGCGAGTCCTCTACTGGTTACGTATACAACATGATAATGCATACAGGAAGCGAAACAGAGTTTAAAAATAACGTCCAAGGATTAGATATATCAAATCAGCTGAAATCAACAAAAATAGTATTATGTTTGATGGATCAATTATTAAATAAGGGCTACATGTTATTTGTAGACAACTATTATACTTCTCCTGTACTTTTTGATTTGTTAGTTGATTTTAAGACAGATGCAGTCGGTACGCTAAGAACAAACAGAAAGGAGCTGCCAGAAGACATTAAAAATAAGAAATTGAAGAAAGGAGATTTCATCGCATTCTACAGAAAAAAGTTGATGATATTGAAGTGGCAGGATAAGAAGGAAGTATGTATGCTATCGACCGTACATGATGCTGAAGTGGTCCCAATAAAAACCAAAAGTAAGTCTATTCAGATAGTAATTTTATATTAGCCGAGATTTAAAATCTGTTTATTTTTGAATTGTAAGATGGAGAAAAAAAATTAAAACCACTTGTCTGTGTGGAGTACAATAAAGGAATGGGGGGAATAGATCTAGCGGACCAGTGTATTACAACATATTCGATTGCGAGGTCTCGATTAAAAAAATATTATCACAAAATGTTTCGTCACCTGCTGGACATTACAATCTTCAATTCTTTTATCCTGCATAAAAAGTGTGGAGGTAAATATGTTTGCATTTTATCGCTTTTATGCATTATTTATTGTAATATAATGTAATTCAGTATATATTTATATATTTCAATACATATAATTTTACAGGAAAGCTTACTCAACTGAACTTCCGGTTGCAACTTGTGGACCAACTTACGGAGAAGTACATCGGTGGAGTTACGACACCATCCCCTACAAGAAAACACAGGCAGGAAATTGCCCCAAAAAGACTCCTGGGGAGGCATTTTCTCAGAGAGAATTCACCGACAAATACGAAAAAGCATGCAACAAGAAGATGCATCATTTGTATGAAAAAAGGAGTTAGGAGAGAATCAGCATATTCCTGTAAACAGTGTGGCGTTCCCCTGTGTATAGATCCTTGCATGGAAATTTACCATACGAAAAAAAAATTCTGATATATATATATATCAGAATATATATATCTATATATATATATATAGATATATATATGCTTTTATCAAGTTATTTTTTCTACACTATTATATAAATAGTAAATGTTAAATTTACGTATACATACGATTTCAGAGAATACGAGTGCAAGATTCGAGGATAAGTATTTCTACAAAATATTTATTATTTTACACTATTAATTTCAATTTGAATATCCAGATTTTATTCATTATTTAGAATACTTTTAAATTTAATGTTTTTATTATAAACACTAATTCATTACAACATTTATTAATAAATATAGTTATACACGTTTTAAACAATTTTATATTTGAATTTTTATTGCATTTATTCTTAAATAATTTGAAAATTTTACTGATTTTATTTTAAGCAATAATTCTCTTACAGCTTTTATTCGTAACAATCATCTAATTTTTTTTTTTTTTGTGAAGAGTAATGTTTTTTAGGGATTACATCATAACTTTCGTCCTTGTATATATTGTAGTATGTATTTTTTATTTGAAACTCCATACATAAAATTAATTTTTAGGAGGAGGGGTAACATTAATAACTTTGGTCAATAAATTATATTTATACCATATAGACTCTACTGAGTCGTTGATGGAGAATAATCCATGAACTCTGTCTCCTGGATTTTTGCAAACAACATTATTAGTACAAAAAACATTATTAGGAAGTGTTGATAGATGCAAATATTCAAAATCCTTATAGTCAAACATGTAGTGATTTAAAGTCACATTTCCTTTCTTACAAAACGGACACATTTCCGGTGAACGAAGATCAATACACAAGTGATTCCATGTTAAACGAAACTTATTTAGACGAATCTGTATTATTGTTTTTTTTAACAATAAACGGTAGCTGCTGATAATAAATGTAAAAGCACCGGTTGTTGTCTAATATTTCTGGGTACCATAAATGGTACTTAGCCTTAAGAATCCTGTCCCCTTCTTCTCTCAAGAAAAGATTATCAAACTGTTGTAAAATTGTATTTGCATAATATTTCAAAATATCTGGAAAGGAATTATCAAGGAGAGTGAGATACCTATTCTATTAAATAGATTCTCTAGTTTAGTAAACCAACAGAATTTGAGCGATCTTTTCGATGAAAACTTCTTCAAAGTAGAATAAGCCTCAAATTCCAAGGATGATGGGTCAGAGATTATGTTTTTCAGAAAATTTAAGGTTAATTTAACAAAGCGTTTCCGGGGAAACTCAAGGCCCAATTCAGATCTGATTGCATATGATGGGATCGACCTCTCAAGACCAAAAAGACGACGAAAGAACATCAGTTCTATAGAGTCGATACCCTCAAAACAAAAAGGCCCCCAAAAGGGCAGACCATAAGACCAACTCGAAGTAAAAAGAGAGGCGGCAAGTTTCTTACACAAAGCCATATGACTGTTTTTAACCCTTCTGAAGATTTCTATTATAACATTTATTTTGGAAAATGCTTTGCCTTTAACGTAAGAAATGTAATTTTGGAACCAGCCAGTAGCTGAAGGACGAATCCCCAAATATATAACTTCATTAACAATACTGACTCCTTTACCGTTTAAGAAAAACTCATCAGCTTTTTTCAGCCTTCCACCATGTCTAAAAATTATTATTTTCGATTTGGATAAATTAATATTCAAACCCAAATTGGAAGAATAATTATATAACCTGTCCAATTTCCTTTGTAGATAAATGGGGATGGTGAATAGCACCACTGTATCGTCAGCAAATTGAAGTAAATGGACTTCGTAGTCTCCCACAGAAATGGAATCTTTACTTAAATCATCAAAAACTTGTACCATGTCATTAACATAACAAATAAACAATATCGGACTTAAGGAATAACCCTGTGGTAAACCCTTTTCTAATCAAAAGGCATCTGTAGACCCGGCACTAGTGGAAATCCTTGCTTTCAATCCTGAAAATAAACGTTGAATAATGTCAATAAACTTTTCAGAGATTCCAAGCATTTTTAGTTTGGATAACAAAATCTTCAAAAAAACACTGTCAAAGGCTTTCTCATAGTCAATGAACGCTGCAAGTAGACGCTGTCTTTTCTTTGACAGTTGTCTACAAATAATCGAGTAGAGAATCAGAATATTACTTAAAGTGCTCTTCCGAGGTTGGAAAGCAAATTGCACTGGTTGAATCAAATTCCTCTCTTTTAGCCAAATACCCAATCAATTTGCCAAAATAGAGGTAAATATCTTTCGAACTACAGGCAACAGCGATATTGGTCGAAAGTTAGCGGGCTCATCTAGTGGACCTTTTTTTATGGATAACTTTTATCTTTACCTCTAACCACGAATTCGGAATTCTAACGGTGTCATAAACCCGATTAAATAACTTGACCAAGTAAGGAACCAAAGTATCCTTAGAGTAAACAATTAAAGACTGTGAAAGATTATCCATCCCGGGAGCAGAACAAATTCGCATCTTTTGAGGTGCTGTATTCACCTCTGTATCAGAGATAGGAAGATCTTAAATAGGATCAACAACAAAAGCCATCGGTAGTGACAGAATCAAGGGTAAATTCGATGTATTTAAACTAAATAACTGTTGATAATAAATAAACCAGTCGATCAAGGAAATCTCTTGGTCTAGTATGCGCCTGACCCGACGAAAACGACCTATCCAATACCAAAAGGTCTTAGAGTCTCTAATCCCAGCCATCTGTAAAGCATAATTACAAAAATAATTCCTCTTTTTGGCCCTAATAAGTGAATTATATTGTTTTAAATTTAAAAAGGAAGCCAAATCAGCCTGACTTATTAGATCTGCGGAATTTGCCCAAGGCAATGTTCCTCGCTCGCTTCTGAATGTAACATGACCTAACAAACCAAGGGGGACGAACCCTCCTGTAAGGTTCAACACCTTCAATTAACACATTTAGTCTTCTTGCGATAGAGCATAGCTCGGATAAAATAATACCATAGAAATCATCAACAGACACAGAATCAAAGTTTATATTCCGGAAACTGCAATACGGCGTCACCAAACAATTCTACTTTAGAATCATTCCAAACACAACGAGTCTTGGTGGGACAAAGCCCATCATCAAAGGAAAATCTGTTTCCGGTCGACAACTGTAATTCCACTGGAAAATGGTCCGAAGATGAGAGAAACCCAACACGAAGGGATTCAACCTTATGAACCAGATTGAGAAACGACAATAAAGTCTATAACCGAGCTACCCATTTTTGACAAAAAAAAGTTAGCTCACCTGGGAAATCTCCCTTAGTACGACCATTAATTAATTTAATTAATTAAGGAGAATAAAATCGTGTTCAATCAACCAACGCAGAAACTGTCTCCCGGCCGTGTCGACCTTTAAATCCTTTGACCGTCTGACATCAAAAATGTTGGGAGAGGCTTCATTCAAATGTGAATAGATTTCTTCACCAATATGAACGTTAAAATCACCCATTATCACAATTCCATGGTAGTACGAAGACCAAGAGTTCAAAATAGAAGAAAACAAGTCTAAACGTAAGTCCTGCTGTCTCTGCAAGCCAGCATATACCACCAGCATCAGGATATTTCTAGGTTCGAGAACCGAGTAAAGTGATAAGCCAATCACCATCAAATCAGGGTGTTTCCAATAACTTGAAATGCCCTCTAACTTCATCAAAAAAGAACAAAATACCACCATGGGGTCTACCCGGCTCCAATGGCTTTTCCGCTGGAATCATAAAATACTTCCAGTTTACTGGAAGAAAGTTAGCAATGAAATCTCCATTCACTGAAACCATCCAGGTTTCAACAAGAGCTAAACAAATTAAACCTAGTCGTTTAATCATATAATCCAACAGATAACACTTAGTGCTAAACCCACAACAATTCCAAAAAAAACAACGATTCTGAATAACTACTCGAACCAAACTGGTCCGGGCATGATGAAGATGAAAGTCTCTCCAAACCGACTCTCCTGCGGTGAGGAAAATTCAAAATGAAAAAGAAACAGGCACCTCTATTAAGCGATGGCCCGAGATAGAATACGTGAATCTCTTGTCATCTACATATAATACGTCATCTCGCAAAAAAACACGACGACCAGCTTCCCGGTATTCTTTTAAAAAAGTAACCAGGTTTTTACGGCGAACACGGGAATTAAACAACAGATCCGGTGCCAACCTAAATTTCACCGGTCTTTCCCTATCCTCTTGTTGAGTTTTCGTCCGAAATTTTTGCAATAAATAATTTCGACATTTCCAGGACTACAACTGGATGCTATAGAATTCCCGAGCTTTACCTCTCAAACCGACAATATTATGCCCCGACAGATCAGTCACATCCAATTCCTTAGAAAGTAAGTTAACAATATAATCCCGCAAATCCAACTCGAGCGGAATACTATGATTAAACATTAAATTGCCTCTGTTTGAAGCATTAACTTGTCTATCGTAGGCAAAGGAGTGTAACTCACCAATGTTGTCCAAAAGTAACTGATGTTGCTGTTCAAATTTATCTAATAGCAAACATACTTTAGAAAAGTCACTTTCCAATTTCCTTACCGAGGACAATTGACTGGTTGGCCATTTCCAAATTGGCGAGCCTCTCTTCGATACACTTCAATTGCACCATTACTGCATTTAAAGTCGTCTCCAAATATTGCCGTAAGGTAAACAGTTCTTCTCTATCTGAGTCCGAAAGAGATTGCCTCTTAAAATAATGTTCTGACTTTGGATATTTTACACCCGGATCACTCGGTAAACGATGATGTTTACTTCGCTTCCGTTCTTCTTGGGTTTGCTTTAACGCTTCTGGAGTAGTACGTGAGAACATTTCCAAAAAAATAGAACTAATGACACAGAATAACACAATTGAGCAAAAAAACGTACCAACTTAGGTAGCAAATAAATAAAAGACTCAGTAATTTACAATAAAAAAAAGTGTTAACAAAATCTCCAACAAAAAGCCACCAACAGTCGAGGTTACTCAACAGCTCCCCCTCTATATACAGTATTGTAATATTTCAGATTCAAGATTTGTGGGTTTCGCGGTTTTTTTCATTGTCGGGATTAAGATTGTGAATTTTTAAATATAAATTCTGATTTTCTTTACAAATAAAGTAATTTTTATATTGCTATTTTAGTGTTTTGTAAAATTTTTCTTAGTTATAGTAATGACGTCACTCTACCATATGTAGAACACTCACCCAGTTGCGCGGGAAAAGAAGCGCGATAATTAGTTTTTATGGAACTTTCAATAACTAATTACAGTGATACCCCGAACTTACGCGATAG